AGGTAGGATACTGTAGCATTATTTTTTAAAAATATTATTGTAGCATTTTTTTAAATATATTACTGTGGCATAGACGGGATACCACAACATTTCAAAAAATATTACTGTAGCATTTAAAAAAATATTGCTGCAGCATTTAAAAAATATACTATAGCAATTAAAAATGGGATTACCGTAGCAATAAAGAAAAGGGAAGGTCGTGCTTCGCACGGGGCGCACACTAGTTAGTCGAATAATAACTTCAAAATCAATTTGGTAAATTTTTCATTCAATGCCACAACGGTTTCACATGCCTACAAGCACCTATAGTCTATAGAATTCCTATTCCTAGTGACTAGTGCGCACCACGTGTAAAGCACGACCCCCTATTTTTTTAAGCATTGTATTTAAACTTGCCCCCCTTTAAATTTTAATACATTTAATTTAATTATTATATACTTAAAATTATAAATTTTTACTCCTCTATACTTAAAGAATGATCCAAGTTTTATGCTTCTATTAGACAAAAGACACTTTTGAAATGAATGTGTATTACAGTATTAGACAGAACTAATAAACCTCCATCTTATTAATTCAGACCCAGTGAAGTGTAACCCGAGTCTGTAAATTTAGGAGAGAGTATTTTAGAGTATAAGAAAGAGTACACGAGAGTATAAAGTTGTTAAAAACAAGGAGAGTATAAGAGAGTATTTATAAGCCAGTATTAGTGAGTATTTGAAAAGAAGATGATTTTTGGATGAGAAACCAAATGAAAACTCCTCTCTATTTATAAAGGCAGTCCTAGCTAGTCAAATGACCAAGATATCCTCAAATTTTATCTTTTTATCATTTTTGTGAGTATTTTGATCATTTGACCACAAAATAGTTGTTATTGGTCATTTTGTGTCTGTTGGCCCGGTTGCCCGTCCCTAACGGATATTTTACTAGTCGTTATAGCGGCAGAGCCCGAACTAGGCCCGAGGTTTGTCACCCGGTGCTAGCAGTGTCCTGGGCCAGGTCCAAGACGGGCATCTATGGAGGTACCTAGACTTGGGCCCGGAACCCGGGTCAGCTTGGATTTCTGGGCTTTGCCCATGCCCAGGCCAAGTACTGGCCTAGCCAAACACGGGCCGAGTCCGGGTCTCAGGCTTTTGGATAGGCCTGGATATTGTAGTAAATCTATGCTTATTGTAGCATATATGGCAGGCGAAATATGCTCAATTAATAGAATCAAGGGATCAATATTTCAATTATATATGCTCAGTTAATAGAATCAAGGGATCAATATATCTTCATACATGCACTTTATTATCTATAAATAGCCAGCTTGGGATTGTTCCTTCACGATTACAATTAAACATAGTTTTTTTCAAGAAACTAGTGATATTAATTATCTATATATGGATCCTAAGAAGATTGTTGCATGCGTTCTTTTCATATTGATAGTCACCGTTGCTTCAGGTCTCTTCTCTCTCTCTCTCTCTCTCTCTCTTACTGTGGTGATTTATTTTTCCTGTTTTTATTTATTTATTTATTTATTTTTGACTGTTTTGAACAGCGAGTGTTCCAATTGCTGGAGGCGGATGCAAGGATATTGGGCCTTGCGCTGGTGACAACAAATGCGACAGCGATTGCAAAGGCCTGCGTTTTCAGTACGGTAGTTGCCAACCAGCTGGGCCTGGGGGTACGGGCGCCCTTCGCTGCGTCTGCTGCTCATTCTATGATTAAGAGTTCCATCTCTTTTTTTCTGAAAAAGAAAAAAAAAAGATGTTATGATATAACCTAATGGTCAATAAAAATACTCATTATTTATGTTTTAAGTAATCTCATGGCCAGTTCTCGGAATCGAGGTTTTAATTTTTCCTTTTTAAAACGTAGTAGTACCAATATGTTAACAACACAAACAATATTGTTGAGAATTATTTATTTACATGTAAAAAGTAAATTGGTGGTTTACTCTTAAAGACACAAAAAAAACCTTACAGCTTAAAAGTGTTTAAATTAAATTTAGTGTACAAAAAGAAAATTTTCAGGCGAAAAGGGTAACACGTTGTTAAAAGATTAGATGTTGCGTTTTCAGTACGGTCACCAACCAGACCACATGTTAGCCTCGGTTCTCTCTAACTGCGGAGCTTTAGATCCAATCCCCCTTGACGGGATACACAGTCTCATAGAGCTAGAGGCAGAGAGGACCGTATCAACTGCATGAACTGCTACCTATCTTGATTCTAGAATGTACTAAACATTTATCTATCTAGGATTATGCCTCCCCCATCTCGGAGGAGGAGCTTGTTTCTACATAGATATTTTCTTCTGTAAAACTTTTAACAGCAGCTATTTATATTTTCAATGATAGGGCTTTCAGCCCTATTTTTACTTCAAAAAAAAGATTAGATGTTGTGTCTTAGGTTTATAATTGAGGTGAAATGGATTCTATTATCTCTATCTATAACTAGTTTTATTATTTTGAGAAAACCTTATCTCTAACTATCATGCACGGGCATGTTGACACGTGCAACATGCCCATGCAAGCCGTAAGACCCACCAAGAGCAACTCTATGTTGGCTTAAGTCCACTGCCAAAATGCTAGCACTAGTGCAAGCCGTAAGACCCACCAAGAGCAACTCTATGTTGGCTTAAGTCCACTGCCAAAATGCTAGCACTAGTTGTTCTTGGGCTTTGGGTTTTTCTCTATTTAAACCACTAATATTTCTTCACACTAGTTCATGTAAGACTAAAGTGGGGGTGTCACACTAAGGCTCTGTTTGGCAAAACTAGCTAAAAGCTGCGAGATTATAGCTGAAAGCTGTCAAGCTAGCTGAAAGCTGTAAAATTATAGCTGAAAGCTGATAGCTGTGTAACTAGCTGATTGACTAGAGCTGTTTGGCAAAAGAAACTGTACAACTAGCTTAAATTTGTTAAATGACTAAAAAGGCCATGCACTATTATTGATATAAAATTAGAATTATTAGGGATAAAAACAGAAGAAAAAAATTGACAGCTCCTTCCCAAAGACAAACGCTACTTGAGATAGCTTTCCAAAAGCTACTTGCAAAATACACAATCTCCAAAATAATCTCCTCCTATTTTTGGTCACCAAACAGCTCTACTAGCTTATTGACCAAGTCAATAAGATACAAGCTCTTAAATAAGACACTTTTTTTGGTTGCCAAACAGTGCCTAATATAGTTGTTAAACAAATTTACATTTCCACTAGCTATCATCTATACACATATAGATGTTACAAGGATATTTGCTCTTGCCAACAACTTTGAAAACAATGAATTTCTGGACTAAAAAAATTTACAATCTGTAATAATGATAAAAAATTATAAAGAGATTCAAAAATCAAGAAAATTTCCGACGAACCCCTTAAAAAGCATAAAAGTACACTCCTTTAAAAATATAAAAAGTACAAAAAAATCTAAAATATAAAAATTACAAATATTATTTTTAAAAAATATAAAAATTACAAATAATAACTTTAGAAAAAATATAAAAATTACAAACAACACCTTGAAAATTATAAAATTTCCAAAAGACCCTTAAAAACATGAGTATTGCAAATTGACCCTTAAATATCAAAAATTGCAAATAACCCTCGGTAAAGTGAAAATTACAACCATCCTCCCCTTTGAAATCTAAAACTTATACATAATTCCCTGAATATTCTAAAAATTATAATTAAGCCTTAAAAAAGAAAAAGAAAAATCTAATTACAAATAATTTTTTGAGAAATCTATAAATTTCAATCAAACCTTTGAGGATTTAAAGTATACAAACAACCCGATGAAAATTTCAAAAGTTACAAACCACCCGCGGAAAAATCTAAATAACGCAAACAAAACCCTTTAAAACTTGAAGATTATAGACAAGCACCTAACAATCTAAAATTTACAAATAAATCTCTAGAAAATCTAAAAATTACAAACATTAGTTGTTTGTAGTTTTCTGCCAAAATTTATAGGAGGTATTTTGGTCATTTGAACACAATGAACTAATAGTGTTAATTATGGGCATTTTCTGCCAGATGTTATTAGGGATCTAATAAGAGTTTCAGAGATATTGAGGGTTTAGTGCCAAACACCCAAATTATTAGGGTTTTAGTGAAATTTATACTATTTCAATTTTTGTATAGAGGGTGGATTAGCGTTTTTACATTAAGACTTCATATTTACTGAAGAACTAATTGGTGGCTACTATTTTGACAATGTAGCTTGACTGTCAAATTGAGATGAAACTAAAATCGTAAATGAACATGAGAATCAAATGAAAGATATTATAAATAAAGAAAATCAGAATTTGCCATTTTGTGTGCGCAAAAAATTTTAAACAACAATCTAGAGTACATAAAAGGATAGAGAAGGAAAAAAGAAATGTTTTAAATCTCTTATTTTTATATGTAGAAATGGTTAGGGTTACAATACACCCATTGTGTAATTAACTTAGTTACACCCAACTGTAAAAATACTTGTTTGACATCTATATTATAAATCCAAGCCATTTATTATTATCTACATGTCATCATATTTAAGTGGATCTAGAATTATGTGGTTTGAAACTTTCTATCTTATAAATCACACAACAAAATAAGTGACATTGGAGACTGATACAAACCGTTCATTTTTAGGTTATAGATATATAAATTAGAAACATTTAATTTATGTGATTCTTTTTAATCTCCATGAAGTCTTAGAATGCATAAATCATGATCATTAATTTTAATTGTCAAAAATGTATTTTTACATAAATCATGATCACTATATTAGCCTCGCATCTCAAAATTTTGTCACGGGTCTCTCCTTAATTCTAAATTTGAAACTTTGAAATAAAAACTGCCAACATTCTTATTTAGTGAGCTTCTACTATGTTAAGCACAGGATTCATCAAATCAAAACAAACAGTACTGATCATCTGCAACATTCGACAGACTTAATAATTAAATACAATAGATATTTCCTTTATCAGTTTAAATAAAGATATATCATTTCATATTTATTTATAGTAGACTCAAATAACCCTTTGAAGTGTATATATACTTTTCTTGCATTTAATCCATTAACACATATGAACACACCGAAGCTTATAAATTCATATTTACATATCACGTACTACTGAAAGTTTGATACCAAACCATCATGAGTTGAATAACCACAATTTTGGCAAGAAAGTATATATTACAAGAAACTAGTACTCTCTCATATCAAAACATTGTACACCATGTCACTGCATGCAACTATTTATATGATGATCATCTGATACCTAGCTAGCTAAGTTTTTCATCACAAAAAGTTATATATAATATCTCATTTATTTAGATATTCGGCACCAGAGAGAAAAAGCTTCAGTTAGGTATGAGCTTGAAAGGAGGCTTGGCAAGAGATGGAGATGGATCATAATTCCCATAATCATTTGTCTTCACCGTGAGAATTCTTGGATGAACAACAAAGACATTTTCATAATTTTCTGACTTCTTACGTGATTCCTGCAATTTACGAAGAAACTTTCGTTAGCAGAGAAAAATACTATGAAAGTATGTAATTTCACAATAAATTGTAAAGTTTTTTTCTGTTTTTTATTCAATATGTACCTTTATTTCAGATCCTACATGAGAATCAACAAGTTTTCTATGTCCTGCAAAATTGAGCTACAGACATAAGAGCACTAAAAGCATATAATTCACAAAATCAAATGACTAAATTTTACTTTCATAGAAAGTTTCATTCATATTACAACTGCACCATACATACAATAAAAGAAGAAGCTTTAAAAGATATATACTAGAATTTATGACTAACTAATTCCATAGCTTATATATCAAAGTTTTTCACTTGTAATGATATTAAGTATGACAGATATTATCATCTTTCAAGATATAATTCTACTACTCTTCATGTAACAACTCATAAGCTTAAATCAAATTCATGGTTCAAGTACAGAAAACCAATCTAAATAATCCAAGACATAAGTACTCACGAAATTGACTTACAAAAATACTCATCAAATACTAGAACTTCAAATGATAAAAGTTCAATGAAGAAAAACTTAGCTAGATGCAAAAAAAACTAACCTGCAAACGAGGCTAAGAGCAATGATGCAATCACAAGAACAAAGAGGAGACTTGAAGATCTTTTAGTCCCCATCAAACTTTTCTCCAAGAGCACAAGGAAAGAGAGGAGAGAGAAGTATTGACAATGGAATTTTATGTAGAGACTTTTGTATGGTGATAAAGAATTAGATAGGCAATTGTTTATATGTGACAATGCAAATCTCACTGGACTCTTTAAATAGTTTAAAAACCAGAAACAGAAAAGGAGATGGAGAGCACTTTGTCCATGGAATGAGTATGCACAATCACTAGGTTGTTGGATCAGTTATTTAATCCCATAAACAAAGGGCATTGACAACTAGCTTTCTTGATGGGAGAATATGACTTCATTACCCTTGCAAATGAAATTAGGCTTTTGCTTATATATATTCCATAGGTTTGGAGGTCTTATTTATAGCAAAACTTTGAAGTTATGATAGGTGTTGGTGGTATAATTTGCTTATATATATTCCACAAACCACAATGTAGGTTATTTTAGCAACTGATATGTCACACATCCAAAGATTCCAAACCCTTATAGTTAATATTCTATATATATAAACAGATCCAAGCTGATCATAACTGATTGTTTGGGTGTATACCACATCAGCAGCACACCAATTTTTTACTCCATAATTCCATACTCTAGAAAGTATTTAAACACATCAGCTCACAAGAATTAAACAATCATTACTTAATTCCATCTACCAAGATTATTCATTGCTCAAGGGTCATCAGGCTTGAATATTCTTTTGATTTCTTGCAAGTGATTAAATACTATTAGCTTAGAGAAGACTTTGGTCATAAAGTCATGCAATAATTAGGCCGGTGAGTTTAAACTATGTACTCAATAAGAATGATTCTCAAGTAAATGCAAATCCGTAAGCCAAACGGTCAAATATTATACATCTCAAGAGAAGAGGAAAAGGCCCAAAAGCAAAGCAACTCCAATATAAGGTCAAAACACAAATGAAGGAACAAATCCTCTTTCTTTGTTCTCAAGCGTAGGTATGTATTTGAACTAGCATAATTAAACAAAAAGACCAATTACTCTTTGCTAGGAACATATGGAGATTAGATTGTGTCACTAGTGAGTAAATTTCGCCATCAATTTCCAAGTTGTGGTTTCTATAAAAAGTTAAAGCATGTTTTAACTAAATTAACAAGCTAATGAAGTGCAACATTGGCATTATTATGTAGTTTAAGATAAAATTAGAGAGAGAGAGAGAGAGAGAGAGAGAGAGAGAGAGAGAGAGAGAGAGAGAGAGAGAGAGAGAGAGAGAGAGAGAGAGAGAGAGTGTGAGAGAGAGAGAGAGAGAGAGAGAGAGAGAGAGAGAGAATTATTCATTGCTCAAGGGTCATCAGGCTTGAATATTCTTTTGATTTCTTGCAAGTGATTAAATACTATTAGCTTAGAGAAGACTTTGGTCATAAAGTCATGCAATAATTAGGCCGGTGAGTTTAAACTATGTACTCAATAAGAATGATTCTCAAGTAAATGCAAATCCGTAAGCCAAACGGTCAAATATTATACATCTCAAGAGAAGAGGAAAAGGCCCAAAAGCAAAGCAACTCCAATATAAGGTCAAAACACAAATGAAGGAACAAATCCTCTTTCTTTGTTCTCAAGCGTAGGTATGTATTTGAACTAGCATAATTAAACAAAAAGACCAATTACTCTTTGCTAGGAACATATGGAGATTAGATTGTGTCACTAGTGAGTAAATTTCGCCATCAATTTCCAAGTTGTGGTTTCTATAAAAAGTTAAAGCATGTTTTAACTAAATTAACAAGCTAATGAAGTGCAACATTGGCATTATTATGTAGTTTAAGATAAAATTAGAGAGAGAGAGAGAGAGAGAGAGAGAGAGAATGTCTCCTAGAAACCATTGTTCAACTAACAAAAGAGCATGCGGACAACACAGAGAAGGGAGATGCCCTTCTTGAAACTTTAGAATTTGTCCCTATATTTTTAAAGATAAAGGGTGCACAAAATAGGTTCCTTGGTCTGCCAGTGCTCCAAATTATCCTTGAGGAAAGGGACATGGAGCCAAACACATTTAAAAGCCAATAGTGGAGAATAAAGAGGTCTCATATTCTATTTGCTCATGCTCTCTTTATAAAAAAAAAGAGGGTGCTAATTATATGTGTGTTTAATTAAACTAAGAGAGGTCTCTTAGCTGTCCTTAGGTTGCAATTTCAAACCTGTGCTATATACCTCCACACTAAAATTCAGGCCCTAGAGGGTGTGGGACCCACGTGTCAGTGAAAGAACGTGATCCCGGGTCCCGGTAACTGTTGGTTGATGAAGCATTGCTCATGGCATCCTTAAGTAGTAGGTCTCACATGCTGAGCACATGATTAAGTTAACATAGGTCGATTCAAACTATACTCTAAATTGAATGGGTCACACATGGAATGAACTAGACAATATTAGCAAGGAAACATAGCTATATGGTCAGGTTTTATATATATAAAACATGTGAAGCAAAAGAGTGTCAACTTGTCAAAGGTTTGAACAAGCAAGAACCTCAAATTGTGAGTGTTTGAATTGAATTATCCAAAATTTGGAAAGCTTGTCAGATTGGATTTGTCAGGTTGCGCAAATGCATCTTGTTTAATCTTAAATTCTGAGGTCAAAATACAGAGAGATCCTGTATGTTAGCTTGCACGGCATTCATATTATTGTCAGCAATATTGCAAAATTTTCTTATGTTTTAGTTTTCTAATAAAAAATGTGGGCTAATTAACTTAATTTATATATTGTCTTTCTCTTACTTATTTTTTCATGTTTGATATTGATATATGGTTGAGTAGTGTAACCTCAATGCAAGTAATTAGAACCTGTCAAGTCTTCCTTTGGGGACAAAAAATGACCTTTGTTAAAGTAAGAGAGAGAGAGAGAATCTTGGGTAAATTTCCCTTGAATTGAATATTGAGTGTGCACCCCCCCAAAATTTTTGCCCAAAATTTATTTCCCCGCCTAAATTCTCAAACTCAGAAATAAAACCCCCAAAACTTTTATCCCCCTCCAAACCCTCTCTAAAAATCCCTCTCTAAACTTCTTTTTTCTCTCTAAAAATCCCTCTCACTGTAAACCCACTTCGTCTTCCCCCTCAAATCTCTCCAAATTTCTCAGACTTAGAGAAAAAAAAAGTGTGTGACAGTACGGCAACGGGAATGATAGTGCATCAGGACAGGAACATATCGAGGATGTCGCCACTTATTGGATCGGACATTGAAGCTAGGCCCGTCATCGGCGTGGCT